ACTTCTCCTGACTGAACCTCTTTCTAAGTTAATTGTACACAGCTCTGTCTTTTTTAAGAGCAGGCACTCAACAGAGTTAAGGCTTTTCTCAACATTTCAGGGTCGTTCATGTATTCCTTGGTTGTTCACTAGATGACAGGCACTGTTCTAGCACTAAGAATAACAACAGTGGCCAAGACAGACATGGTCACTGTCTTACAAGTGAGGAAAATCACTCTAATAAATATACCCATAATTCGTCATAGTTGGGACACAGGCAAGAAGGAATATAACATTATGACACTCTGGAGGTATATAAGAGGGGATCTGAAAGAGAGAAAAGGAGACAAGAAAGGTTTATTTGAGGAAGCGATGTTAGGTTAAGACTAGAGGAGGGTAGGAGGAAGTCAGTGGAGAAGATGGAAAGGAACAGAGCTTCAGGCAGAGAGAACAGCCATTGTGAAGGTGGGAGGTAGGCAAGAAGAGATGTGGCTAAGGGAAGCCAGTATGGCTGGAGCAGGGCCACGTGAACAGTGGCCATTGGTTTGGACTGAATGCACGGGTCCCCTCAAGGCTACTGCAGGGGTCAGGCACCGATGGGCAGATCTGCCTGTCAAACTCAAGACAGACACCAGCTACTCATAGAGTGCTCTGCAGTGTGGGTGCTTAGGGATGGCTCACCTGGGTTGAGTGCCATATTCTGTCAGGTTCCTGCTTTTCAGAGCTACCACACAACTACAGGATGATAAACTTGGAAAGCTCCAAAGAAACCATCTAGAGCAGGAGTTATGATCCTGGTTGCACCATAGAATCACTTGCGACGCTTAGAAAAATACCTGTACTCAGACCCTACCCCAGATCAATTAAATATCCAGACAAGGGATTATGGTGTGGGTGTTTTGTAAAGCTCCTAGGTGATTCTAATAAGTAGATAGGGTCGAAAATCGCTATCCTAGTGCAATCCTCCTTTTTTCACAAATTAAAGAACAGAAGCCCCTCTACACAATTATTAATTTTAGAAATGTGCCCATGTTCACATTATACACAATAGAGAGTGAAGAAGGAATAGAAGTCATAGAAATCTCATGTTTAAAATATGGTAATACTAAGGGGAACGTGGAGCCCACTCCCTCTTGCTTCATTCAAAAAAGCAGTGTTAAAAAGGCTTATTTATGAGTTTTATTATAGGAAGAAAACAGTATTATGGACAGCCACATGCAAGAGAATAAAGTTGGACCCCCTTCCTTACACCACACACAAAAATTAACTCATAATGGATCAAAGACTTAAATGTAAGCTAAAAATTTTTTTTTAAATCCCAACTCTTAGAAGAATACATAGGAGTAAATTTTCATGACCTTGAGTTAAGCACAACCTTCCTAGATACCACATCAAAAGCCCAAACCACAAAAGAAAAAACAGATGAAATGCACTGCATTAAAATTAAAAGTTCTGTGATACAAACAATACCATCAAGAAAGTGAAAATACCCACAGAATAAGTGAAAATATTTGCAAATCATATTATCTGATAAGGAGCTTATATCCAGAATATAAAAAGAACCCTTTCAACTCCATAATGAAAAGATAAATAACCTAATTTAAAAATGGGCAAATAATCTGAATAGCCATTTCTTCAAAGAAGATCTATAAATGGCCAGTGAGCACAGGGAAGGATGCCTGACATCATTAGCTATTAAGGAAATGGAAATCAAAACCACAGCAGCATACCACTTCACACCCACTAGGGTGGTTATAATAAAAAAGACAGAGAATGTGGTGAGGTGTGGAGAAATTGGAACCTTTGTATATGTTGGTGAGAGTGTAGCCACTTTGGAAAACAATCTATCAGTTCCTCAAAATGTCAAACATGGAGTTACCATATGACCCAGCCATTCCACTCTTAAGTGTATACCCAAGTACATATGCCCACATAAAATTCTGTACACCAGTGGTCCCCAGCCTTTCTAGCACCAGGGACCAGTTTCATGGAAGACAATTTTTCCACAGACTGGGGGAGGGGGATGGTTTCAAGATGATTCAAGCACTTTACATTTATTTTGTACTTTATTTCTATTATTATTACATTGTAATATACAATGAAATAATTATACAACTCACCATGATGTAGAATTAGTGGGAGCCCTGAGCTTGTTTTCCTGCAACTAGACAGTCCTCTCTGGGGGTGATGGGAGACAGTGACAGATCATCAGGCATTAGATTCTTATAAGGAGCGTGTAGCTTAGATCCTTCGCATGTGCAGTCCACAACAGGGTTCGTGCTCCTATGACAGTCTAATACCTCTGCTGATCTAACAGGAGGTGAAGCTCAGGAGGTAACGCAAGCAATGGGGAGCAGCTATCAATACACATGAAGCTTCACTCAATACCCACCACTCACCTCCTACTGGGCAGCCTGGTTCCTAACAGGCCATGGACAGCTATTCCTGCTATAGACGAATGTTGGGGACCCCTGCTGTATATTAATGTTCATATCAACAGCATTCATAAGAGCAAAAAAATAAACAACCCAAATGTTCATCAACTGATAAATGGATAAACAAAATGTAGCATATGCGTGCAATGGAATATCATTCACCATAAAAAGGAAGTCTTGATATATACTACAACATAAATGAATCTTGAAAACATTATGCTAAGTGAAAGAAGCCAAAAGACCACATATAGAATGATTTCATTTATATGAAATGTCCAGAAAAGGCAAATCTATAGAGACAGAAAGTAGATTAGCAGTTACCTAGGGCAGGGAGGGTGGAGGGAGATGGGGAGTGGTCACTACACTAGTGCCCACACTAGTGGATACAGGGTTTTAGGATGATGAAAATGTTCTAAAATTAATTGTGCTGAAAATTGTACAACTCTTGTGGACACACTAAAAACCATTGAATTGTACAGTGTAAATGAGTGAATTGTATGGTCTGTGAATTGTATCCCAATAAAGATGTTTTTAAAAAACAGCATTAGCCAGATGGGGTGGCACTCACCTATAATCACAGAGCTTTGGGAGGCCGAGATAGGAGGATCACTTGAGGCCAGGGTTTTGAGATCAGCCTGGGCAACACTGTGAGATCTCATCTCTACAAAAACACTTTTTAAATTAGCTGGATGTGGTGGTGTGCTCCTGTAGTCCTAGCTATTCAGGAGGCTGAGGCAGGAGGATTACTTGGACGTCCTAGAGGTCAAGATGCAGTGAGCTATGATTCGCACCACTGTACTCCAGCCCGATAACACAGCAAGACCCTGTCTCTAGCAAAACAAAACAAAAACACGTGTTATTCTCTTACGTTCCTATTCAGGATGAATTGGGCCATTGCGTCCTTATGTTTTATTGGTTTCCATTCTTTCCTTCTTTTCACATTTCAATCCTACTCATCTATTCGATTTAATGTTTCTTCTCCTGCTCAGGCTCCCCTCCCTCCCTCTCTCTCTTTCTCTCTTCCTCCCTCTCTCCTCCTCCCGTCCTCAAGGAAAAGAATTGCAGATATTCCTTCAGGAGCATTGTCTTTGCAGATTTGCTCATGCAGAGAACTGATATGTCACAAGCTAAGTGCTTCCAGTGAGTCAATGAGCCAACGATTGAGCTTCAGGGTTGCCTCCTGGGTCAAAAACTGAGTTAGGCCAGGGCGTGCAGGTAGCCAAGGTGGGAGGATCACTTGAGCTCTAAGAGAGTTCCCAAGGCCAGCCTGGGACAACATAGCAAGACCCCGTCTCTATCACAAAAAATCAATAAAAAAAATTGCCGATCGGCATGGGCACAGGGCGCCTCCTTGTGGTCCAGCTTTATTTGGAGGCTGAAGTGGTGGGGATCACTTGAGCCCAGGAGGCTGCAGTGAGCAATGGATTGCACCACTTTGGCACTGCCCAACGCTGAGTGATAAGCAAGACCTGTCTCAAAAAAAAAAATTAAAAAATTAAAACTATGAGTTACCCAAGTATATTGTGCACAACACTTAGATTTTTGTCTTCAAATAGAAAATAAACGAGGGCAAAGGCCTTATTCTAAGGCATTTAGGAGCCTTATGGGCCATTATTGATTCCCTGGGAAGTGGAAGGTTTTAGCGAAGGAGACTTTTCTGAATAATTTGTCTTACCTAAGTACCCTATCCCCTAAACAGGGTCAACTAAAGTTAAGGCAAATGATGACAAGAAGAAGCCACCCAATGGAAGCAGGGGGACTGCGTTTCCCAAGTGCGACAGATGCCATTTTCCAAAAACCGCCGCAGCAATGTTTCTGATCCCACATGGATTTCCTGATTATTGGACAATCCTCTTAAGAAAGGTGGAGTCTAATTCCCTTCCCCTTGAGTATCCTGCTCAGTCCCCTTGAGGATTTCTTCTAAGGAATAAAATCTAGTGGAAGTGATGCTGTGGTTTCTGATGTGAGGTTAGAAAAAGTGATACAGCTTCTATCTGGTTCTGTCTCTCTCTCTCTCTCCTCTCTCTCTCTCTCTCTCAGTCTCTCACACACTCTCTCTCTCCCTCCCTCCCCTTGGGACCCAGCCTCCTTGCTATGAGGAAGCTCAGGACTCATGGAGAGGCCATGCACGTGTATTCCAACAAGTTCCCCAGCTAAAGTCTCATACCACAGCTGACATTAATTTCCAGGCATGTGACTGAGAGAGTGCGAGAGCCTTCATGTGACTTCAGTCCCCAGCCTCTATGCCCACCCCAGCTGACAACAAGTGAAACAGAGCCATGTTATCCCTGCCAGGCCCTTCCCCAGCTGTGGATTCCTGAGGAGTTAGTTACATGTTGCTGCATAACAAGTTACCCCACAACCAACTGGCTCGAGATATTTATTTTCTCATAACCTCTTTGCTAACCTAGTGTTTCAGGACTGTGGGCACGGCTCAGCTGGGTCCTCTGTGTCAGCGTCCTTCACAGGTGGTAATCAAGACGTTGGCTGGAGCTTTCATTGCCTCAAGGTGGGAAGGCGACGCTTCCGAGCTCACTCAGGTGGTTGCTGGCAGGGTTCATTTCCTTGAGGCCTGCGGAATTATGGCTTTCAGCTCCTTGCCATGTGGGTCTCCCCAACATGATGGCTTACTTCACACAAGCCAAGAAGGCAGTAGAGTGAAAATGATAGCAACACTAAAGTTTCAGTCTTTTATAAGCTAATCACGGAAGCAACATCCCATCTCTGTTGCCATATTCTATTCATTGGAATCAAGTCACGACATCTATCTCATGCTCCAGAGGAAGGGATTATCCAAGGGTAAGAATCCTAGGAGCCATATCAGAAACTGCCTCTGCACTGAGAAAAATGAATGTTTTGCTTATTTTAATCGACTAGGTTTTGGGATACTTTGTTATGCAGTGTAAGATAATGGGAAAACACCAAAACACAGAGAGGAAGAATTAGGTAAGAAAACTGTACTTGTTGAAATATTTACTTTATTCCAGGATCATTTCACAGATGGCAGAACTAAGGCTTAGAGAGGTGACTTGCCAAAGCTATTAGTGGTAGAATGAGGATGAAAACCAATCCTGTTAGACTTCATAGTCCATGACCTTCTCACATTTCCACTCTACTTCTGTCCTTTGAAGAAAAACAAAATCCCAAACCATTTCAATATTAAATGGTGTTTTACCAATGACCTTTCTTTAATCCTCAAATTTAACCAGCAGAGACTATTTCTGGGTACACTCCCCACCCGCACCTCTTCAACTCCTACTTACAAAGGACTTTCATCTTCATGCAAATTCTGTATTTTGTGAAGCTGGCAAGACCAGTCCACCATGCTTAGCTACATTTTTTTCCATAAAAACAAGCTTTCTGGAATACTATCGCTTGCCATAGTGAGGACATAGATTCCAGGAAGTTGGTTTCAAATGCTAAAAAAAGAACATGAGGCAGACATCTGCTTGAGTAGAGAATGTAAAACCCAACTGCTCCTGCTGCTAGTGTCTCTAGGCCGCCAGCCCCGCCCCTGCAAGGGTGGTTCAGGCTAAACACATTAAAAACTTCTTTCAAATTGATTCAAGGATACAGGATAGAAGGGAGGCTGACTTTTTACTGCAAATCTTTTTGTACAGAATTTCAAAACATATTATGTGCTCGCTAATTATCTTTAAAATTCTGCTTAGAGCCGGGTGCAGTGGCTCATGCCTATAATCCCAACACTTTGGGAGGCTAAGGCAAGGCAGATCACTTGAGGTCGGGAGTTCAAGACTAGCCTGGCTAAAATGGTGAAACCCCATTTCTACTAAAAATACAGAACAAACAATTAGCCAGGCATGGCGGCATGTGCCTGTAATCCCAGCTATTTGGGAGACCGAGGCAGGAGAATCACTTGAACCCAGGGGGCAGAGGTTGCAGTGAGCTGTGATCACGCCATTGCACTCCAGCCTAGGCAACAAGAGCAAAATTCCATCTCAAAAAAAAAAAAAAGTTCTGCTTAGAGACTAATCTTGGTTGACAGATTTCTATCAAGGGAAACTGAGGCATTTTTCAAGATGGATTTGATGTCCTAGTATCTTCTCTGGTGCTGATTCTGTGCTGCTCTAAGCATCCAAGATGAGCTTAAGCCTAGGCACCCAGCAGGGACAGAAAGGACAGAGAGGTGGTCTTTGCAGGGGCACCCTGCCTGCTTGCTGGGGAGACAAGTAAGGTTATTCCAGAAGCAGCAGATTACTCAAAGCCAAACCTTAGATGCTCATGGACTGAGTGATATTCTAAAAGATGGACCAGAACAGAAGACGACCACACTCTTCTGCAGTCTATAGTGGTAATGGTGGTAATAATAATGTGAATTACTATTTATTAATTAGGGTGCTTACTTAGTCCATTAACATTTAATTTAATTGTTGATAGGATTGGAGCTAAGTCTATCTTTTCATTACCTATCATCTGTTTATCTCTTCTCAGTTTTTGTTCCCCTGTTCCTCCTTTCCTTCCATCTTTGGACTATTGCAGTATGTTCTAGAAATACATTTTAATGCATCTACTGACTTCTTAGCTAGAACCATTTGCATTATTTTTTGGAGGTTACACTAGGGATTACAGTGTACATCCTTAATCTTTCACAGAGTTGACACTGTGTCCCTTCCCATAAAATGTGGATGCTTTACAACTGTACAGTTCCATTTATCCCTCACCCCACCCCACTCACAGGACTCCCTATGCTGTAACTGCCATTTATATTATATCCACATATTCTGTAGCCTGCAAGAAACACTATGCTTTCTTTTTCAAATAGTCATATGTGTGTAGGTATGTATGTATTTGTGAGAGGGTCTCATTCTGTCACTCAGGCTGGAATACAGTGGCATGATCAAAGCTCACTGCAGCCTCAACCTCCTAGGCTCAGGTGATCCTCCCACCTCAGCCTCCTGAGTTGCTGGGTCCACAGGCATGTGCCACCACACCTGGCTAATATTTGTATTTTTTGTAGAGATGACGTTTCACCATGTTGCCCAGGCTGGTCTCAAATTCCTGGGCTCGAGCAATCCACCTGCCTCAGCCTCCCAAAGTGCTGGGATTACAGGTGTGAGCCACCGTGCCTAGCCAAAATAGTCATATGTATTTCAAGGAAATTGAAATTGAAAAATAATATTATGGCCAGGTACAGTGGCTCACACCTGTAATCCCAGCACTTTGGGAGGTTGAGACAGGGAGATCACTTGAGGTCAGGAGTTTGAGAGCAGCCTGGCCAATATGGCAAAACCCCATCTCTACTAAAAATACAAAAATTTGCTGGGTGTGGTGGCACACACCTATGGTCCAAGCTACTCAGGAGGCTGAAGCAGGAGGATCACTTAAGCCTGGGAAGTGGAGGTTGTAGTGAGCCAAGAGTGTCCCACTGCACTCCAGCCTGGGCAACAGAAGAGAAACCCTGTCTCAAATAATAATGATGATGATAATAATAATAATAATAATAATAATAATAATAATAATAATGATGATGATATATTTACCCAGATATTTACCATTACTGATGCTCCTTATTCTTTCCTAGAGGTCCAAGTTTCTCTCTTACATAATTTCCTTTCAGCTTAAAGAATGTCCTTTGCTTTTCTTCCAGTGCAGGTCTGTTGGAAATGTGAAAAATAAATAAATGTCTATTTTTTTTTTTTAAGAATATGTTTGCTGGGTACAGAATTTTGAGTTGACGGGTTTTTTTTTTTTCCTTCTTTCAGACCTTTAAAGATGGTATTCCAATATTTTTTGGCCTCCATGTTTTCTTATGAGAAATCTGTGGATGTTAAAATTATTGTTCCCCAGAATATCATGTGTTGTTTTCTCTGGATGCTTCCAAATTTTCTCTTTATCTTTGATTTTCTATGGTTTCACTCTAATGTATCTAGATGTGGTTTTCTTTGCACTTATCCTACTTGAGGTTTACCACATTTTTTGAATCTATACATTTATATCTTTCACCAGATTTGGAAAATTTTCAGCCACTATTTCTCTAAGTATTTTTTCTACCCCATTCTTTCTCTCCTCCTGCTCTGACACTCTTAGTACACATATATGTGTCCTACAGCTCCTGGCAGTTTTGTTCATTTTTTTTAACATTTTTTTCTCTTTCTTCTTCAGATTAGATAATTTTCACTGATGTACCTTTCCATTCACTGATTCTTTTTGGGGGTTGGGGGGTGGGGGACATCTCCATTCTGCTATTAGGTCCACACCGTTATGAACTCTATAAATTTTTTTAGTTCAAATGTGCTATTTTTCAGCTCTAGAAAATTCATATGGCTCTTGCTTATATTTCCTGTTTCTCTGTTGAGTTTTCCTATCTTTTCAATCATATGAATACATTTTCCATTACCTCATTGAGCATGCATATAATAGTGGCTTCGAAGTTCTTATGTGATCATTCTAGCAGGGTATCTTACAATTGACCTCCATTGATTGTCTTTTTACTTAAGAAAAGTCATATTTTTTTGGTTCTTTGAATGTCAAAGTTGTTTTGGATTGCACCATAGACTGTGAATTTTATATCATGGAGATTCTAAACTCTATTATATTCTTCCAAAGAATGCTAATGCTATTGTTTTAGAAGACAATTAACTTGATAGACTCAAATTTCAGTTGAATTGCCTTAAGTAGATAGCAATTCAAATCTCAGTTCAGTTCCATTAGTCTTTGCTACAAGCACATGTATGGTACAAGGGTTAAAAATTCCCTCAATTTGGATATCTGAGTTCATGCACAGAACTTAGAGTTGCTCTTTTTGGCTCTCTTCTTTCTGGGATTATCCTTGCATGTTCCAGTGGTTGTGGCTACCCCAGGCTCTGTCCTCTAACATTTCAGGCCAGAAAAGTGATAGATTTTCTATCAGAGTTTTAGTCACTCCATACAATGCCATAGCAAGCAGTTTTCAGCCTGAAGCCATTAGAACAGAAAATTCACCATGTGCCAGTCTGTTTTTCCAAGTCTCAACTCCCTTCCAAATTCTCCCTGATTTTTCTCACTCTGCAGAGGCTTCAAGTCATTGCTTTTTGTATTTTTTCCAGAATTTATTGTTATTATTTGTAGGATTACAAGTTTATCAGGAGCTCATTCCACCAGATCAGAAATGGAACCAGCTACTATTTTTTAAACCTCCTCCATGTACCCATTTATGCCTCTCTTTTCAAGTTTTTTTTTCACTTTTAAATGTTTTCTTTTATAAAAGTAAAGTATACTCAGATAAGAAAAAATCATATAGTACAGAGTAGAACAGAGAATAAAAATTAGTCTTTCAATCCTCTTCAGACACCTCCCCCAACTCCAGCTCCACTCCCCATCAGTAAGTATATGTATATTGAATTCTTCTACATTAAATACATCATACTATAATAAATGTGATTTTTATTTTTTGTTAATTTCCAAATCCTTACAAATAAAATGATTTTATTTCCTTTCATTGGCTATATAGCATTTTATTACATGCATGTGTCATAATATTTATGTGCCACAATGTATTTAATGTGATCCCTTCTAACTGACATTTTAGTATTTGTCCATTTTTCACTGTTACGAATCATGCTGCAGCAAACATTCTTGCACGTATATTTTTACACATTTGACAGAGTATATAAAATCCTAAAAACGACATTGCCTGCACAAAGAATAAGTATATTTTAAATTTAGATTTCAACTTTTAAAATAATGCTTTTGACCTAAAGCATTCTGACTTTCGAAAGCAGTGTTTTGCCTAAATGCTGTAAGGTACAAGACAAAGAAAACTACACAAACATTGTGCCTTCATTAGTAAATTTGTTTCCTATAGGGATACTGTTAGATTCTGAAACTGTTTTATATATAGAGTAGGGTTGAACAAATAAGTAAATATATTACAGAAATGAGAATCAAGTTTCTCACTATTGGACAAAGAAGTTACAAATAAGCAAAGGCAGAAAACTGTACTGAACCCTGTTGCATTGAATTAGTGTTAGAGATATCAGCACAAACTAATTTATGATTATCACAATAAAGATTAGATAGATAGATAGATAGACAGACAGACAGACAGATAGATTCATATTTCTATCTCTGTCTACTGAAAGGACTTAGAAACAGTGACATCCCAATAGCAATGTGCACATCTAATAGCAAGATTTTGGTTTCTAAATACCATTTCCCAGTAAAAGGAATCAGGGCTCCTTGGAGAAATGGTTGAACCAGAGTTAGAGTAAGAAAACTACAAGATGAACTAAGAGTATCCTGTGGTACCAGAAAGAAAGAAAGTGTTCAAAAAAAATTATGGGGTCATGTCAAAGGACACAAGCCACTCTAAAAAGGCTCCCAATACCAAAGAATGAAATAAATGAGTGATAGAGCGAGACCCTGCCTGTAAAAAAATAATAATAATTCCAACTAATAAATGTAGAACAAATGAGAAAAATAGAAGATCGCCATTAGAACATCACAATTACAATTACTGTAAGCAGAAGCTGGCTCCACCTCTGAATTAATGCTAACATTAACAGGTGAAAGTTTAAGAAAAAAAACAGGACGTATATTCAAAATATCTTCCTGAAAATACTTATTAGTTACTGTAATGAGACATGTTAACAAATTCTTTGATACGTCTCCCTTGGAGGTAGACCTTAATTTCTCTCTCCTTGAGTATGGGCTGGGACATAGTGACTCTCTTCTAACAGAGTGTTAAGGAGAGGAAAATATTAACTTTGTCATGGATAAAGCTGACGGACACCACCTAAATCGAGTGATTAAAGTTAACATCACCATAGAAAGACCTAGTGACACCACACAACCCCTGATGCCATGCACTGAGAAGGACACATCACCTCTGTGGTCTTCCTCCCAAAATTCTATCACCTCACTCTAACCAGCAGAAACCATCAGACAAATCCAAATTGAGGGACATTCTACAAAATATCAGAAAAGGACTTCTAAAAAGTGTTGAGTTCACAAAAGAAAATTCTGGGGAACTAGGCTGGGCACGGTGGCTCACGCCTGTAATCCCAGCACTTTGGAAGGCCGAGGCGGGTGGATCACGAGGTCAGGAGATCAAGACCATCCTGGCTAACACGGTGAAACCCTGTCTCTACTAAAAAAAATACAAAAAATTAGCCGGGCATGGTGGCGCCTGTAGTCCCAGCTACTCAAGAGGCTGAGGCAGGAGAATGGCATGAATCTGGGAGATGGAACTTGCAGTGAGCCGAAATCGGGCCACTGCACTACAGCCTGGGTGACAGAGCAAGACTCCGTCTCAAAAAAATAAATAAATAAAAAGAAAATTCTGGGGAACTGTCACAGTTTGGAGGTGATTAAAGTAAGCATAGAGATTAACATAACATGGTAATCTGGATTGGATCCTGGAACAGAAAGGGACATATGTAGAAAAAGTGGGAAAATCTAAATGAAGTCTGTAGTTTTGTTAATAATATGGTCCCAATGTTAATACTCTCTTAGTTTTTATCATTGTACCATAGTGATGTAAAATGTTAGCATTAGGAGAAGCTGGATGAAGAGCACACTGAACCTCTCTAAACTTTCTCAGCAACTCTTCTATACATTTAGATTATTTCAAAATAAAATATGTTTTAACACCTGATCTTAGCCAAAAGGCTGAGAAGCAATTTTTTTTTTTTTTTTCTTGAGAGAGTGTCTCGCTCTGTCACCCAGGCTGGAGTGCAATGGCATGATCCTGGCTCACTGCAACCTCCACCTCCTGGGTTTGAGCGATTCTTGTGCCTCAGCCTCCCAAATGACTGGGACAGGCATGCACCACACCCAGCTAATTTTTTTGCATTTTTAGTAGAGATGGGGTTTCGCCATATTGGCCAGATGGTCTCCAACTCCTGGCCTCAAGTGATCTGCCCACCTTGGCCTCCCAAAGTTCTGGGATTACAGGCATGAGTCGCCACACCTGGCCAAATAAAAGGTGTTTTAAAATAGTTGCTCCAGTCTGTAGTCCCACCAAGGACTACATATGAGATAAGAATAAGACTACATATGAGATAAGAATCTCCTCACATCCTCCCCAACATTGAGAATTATTAGACTTTCAATATTTGCCAATTTGATGGGTAAAATGGGATCTGGCTATTTTGAGTCCTAATTCATTCATTGAGAGAGAACCTGAGCATCTTTTCATGTGCACTTCATCCATTTACATTGCTTTTTCTGTGAGATGCCTATTCAATGTTATTCCTGTTTCTACAGCATCCCTACATAAGTACTATTATTCCCATGTTACAGCTAAGAAAACTGAGGCTCAGTATAGTTGAAAAACTAGCCTCAAACCTCCCCACTAATAAGTAAAGGAGTGAGCTTGAACCCAGATCTATCCAGCTCCAAAGTCCACACCCTGTCCAATACCTAGGGTAAGTTGGGACTTTGCCTCATCTTCCTGCTGTTTCCTGAGATAAAGAGTAATCAAATGACAGAGGCTTCTTCGTCTGATGCAGTTATTTTAATTTACGATGAGGAAAGAGGCTGAAAGGAGTGACTAGAGTTACCCAAAGTCACACAGGGGCAAGAAGAAGACTAGAACCCAAGTCTACTGGCTCCCAGCTCAGTGCTCTTTCCACCAAACCATGTGGCCTTCCATGGTGCAGGCCAGGGCGGTCAT